TGCACCCTTTTGTTTTAAAGGCAAAAATCCTCTTGAGATTTCTGTGGTTAGGGAAAAACAAGTACTAAGGTACAGATCTTTTGTAAAAGTAAATTGGTATAATATGAACATTTGAAAAGTGGGGTATAATTGTAGTTTTTATTTGGACTGAGGCTAATTTAGCTCTAAGGAAATTGCTGCTGCTCTTTTTTGGATATAAAACCTTCTTCGCTTAAACTTATTTCAAAAAAAGACTATATGTCCTGTGTTACAAAGTTGAAAAGTTTCTGAAGTTTCAAATCAGGATACTGTTTTGTCTGAGTGAATTTACATTCTTTTTTTTTTTTAAAGATTTATTTATTTTGCATATAAGAACTGGGGTACAGGCCAGAGGTGTGGGGGGTGAGAGGAGTCACCAGAGACAGAGTGGGGAGCAGAACAGGCAGATTGACTGAAATACACTGCTGAGGGGAGCAGTGGGCGAGTCAGGAGAGGTCTGCTGCGCCATCTGGGTTACCTCCCTGGCTGGGGATCAAACTCATGCTGCAGCGGCATAGTCGCGTCTTAACCCCTTGCGCCACCAGGGAGACCCTGAAATTACATTCTTGAGCACTTTCATTCTTCCATCTTGGGTGTTCTTCCTCCCATTTCCCACATATTTTAAAATTCTTGTTTATTTTTAAGAAAGTATTACGTAATATCTTGTACATTATAAAGCTATGCATAATAATAATAAAATCATCTGTGTCCACACTTAGCTTTAAAGAAATAAATTACCAACACCATTGAAGTTTCTTTTGCTAATGCCTACCTCATGTCAATTCTCCTTCTGCTTCTCAGAGGTAATCTCATTTTCAAATTTGGTATATTTTATTCCTTAGTATGTAAATGTATTTTACTACATTTGTATATATTCCTGTAATCTATACCAATATTACCTATTTTAAAATTTTATGCAAGTAGTATCATACTGTATATGTCCTTTTGCAACTTGCTTTTTAAGAACTCTATTTGTGGGAATTTCTCCTTTTAAAATATTTTCATTGCTGGGCCTTCCTGGTGGCACAAGGGGTTAAGCACAGCACTGTGAAGCTATCCTGTGGCCTCTGTAGCGCAAGTTCAATCCCCTGCCCGGTAGGGAGCTAACCCACATGGTGCAATAGACCTCTCCTGTCTCCTCAGCAGTGTATTTCAGTAAGTCTGACTGTTCTGTTCCCCACTGTCTCTGGTGAATCCTCTCACCCCCGGCACCTCTGGCCTGTACCCCAGTTCTTGTATGCATAAATAAATATATTTTTTTAAAAGTATTTTCATTGACGTTTAGTATGTCATTGCATGAATAGTCCTAGCTTGCTTACCTTTTCTCCTACTTGGTGATGTGTTAGTTCATTTTTTTTTTTTCCCATTGTAAACCATACCCTCATAAAAATTTTGTATTTGTCTCCTTTATACCGTGTTAAGTTTCTTATGACAGTCAACACTTTAAAACAAGCCTGAGATTAAAGAGCTTGTGTCAGAATTTAAGTCAACATACTGTTTCTTTCATCAAAAAAGCTTTATCAGCTTACCTACTTAGTGATGCAACTTTTTATCTTAATGTGGTCCATTAATAAAGAGTATAAGAAATGGGGTCCACTTTGAGAGTGAAATTGTTGGGTCATACATCTTCAACTTCACTGCATATTTCCAAACTGTTCTTCTAAATTGTACCAATGAATAAAAATTCCCATCGCTTCACATCTTACCAACAGGTATTATCAGATCTTTTAATTTTTGTCAGTCTTGTAGGTGTGAGATGGTTTCTCATTATGCAGGAGGCATTCATTATGAAGGAGACAAATGGCTTTACAGTCTAGACAAAAGGCTTTACAGTAACAATGATGTGTATAAGAAAAATGCACAACTACTGATTGTAGATAAAGCCCAGGTGGAAGGACAGAGCATCATGGAGTTCAGGGGTGGAAGAGCACTTGCAAAGTATGAGAAGTCATGGGGTTTTACCTGTAGGAGGCATAGCTTTTAAGCTTTTATTTTAAAAATGTAGTAGGCATTGTGAACCAGGATGATAAGTGATCCATGTTAGGGAACAAAGTTATAGAAGTAGGAATGAATACGCTAAGATCCAGTTTGACTCAAAAGTAACATCCAATTAGGGAAGTAATAATAACTATTTATTTATTTTATGTGCCAGGTTCTTGACAGATGTTATTTCTAAAATATCTTTTTTTTTTTTTTTTTAGAGGCATGCTTTATTTGTTTGCTGGTTTGTTTGTTTGTTTTGTTTATACATGCACTGGGTACAGTCAGAAGCGCGGGAGGGTGAGAGAATTCACCAGAGCCAGAGCGGGGAGCAGAACAGGCAGAAGGACCGAAGTACACTGCTGAGGGGAGCAGCGGGCGGCAGGAGAGGTCTGCACGCCATGTGGGACCCTCCTCCGGTGGCCGGGGAGCAGCCGGGGATCGAACTGGCGCCGCAGAGGCCGTGCGCAGTTTCGCAACCCAGCGCTCAACCGCTGCGCCACCGGGGAGGCCCTTGACAGATGTTATTTCTACTCTTTAAGACAACCCCATAAGACAGATATCAGCCTTTATAGATAGACAATAAAATGGAAGGTTTTGAGGGGTCATGGAACAAGTAAGTGATGGAGTCAAGATTTGAATTAGAGTCTTCCTGATACTACAAGCTTGCCCTTGAAATTTGTTATGCTATTTTACTTTAGGGAAATAGAAATATGACAGGTGCCATATTAAGAAAGAGCTTGATGACTGAGGTGAGGAATTTTTACTGACCTTGGCAGGCAGAAGCTGAGCAGGGACAAAACTCAAGCTGAATTCTGGGAAGACTACTGCAATTATTTGGGCAGTAAAAACGGGAGCCTGAATTAGAAGGGCTGAAATGCAATGGATGGAAGGAGAGTAAATATAACAAATATGAGTCAAAAGTACACACAGACTAATAACCGATGAAATAAGAGCAAACCACAGAGAAGTATATATAATATTTCTAAACTTTTGAGCCTCTCAAGTCTCAGAATAATGTTCTGCCGTGGCCATCAACAGAAATACAGGGCAGGAGGAGGAACTGGCTTTGTGAAGTTGAGGAGACGGAAAATGATAAACTTAATGTGTTATCAGTATTTCTCATAAAAAAAATTCTGGGGACTGCTGCATCTGTGTGGAGATGGGTAATAGATAATTGGATATGTAGTCTGAAGTTTGAGGTCAAGTTGCAGTATCCAAAGAGAGTTGAAAGTCAAAGGCATGGTAATCTACGAAGAATATTAAGTGCAGGAAAACCCATCTTGGTGTCTACTAACAAGTGGGGGAGGCTGGGGGGAAGAAGTGTATTGAACACCCACTGTGTCCCCAGCACTTTAGGAAATACTGGAAAGGTCACAAAGCTTTCTTCATGAAACTTCTAATTATTTTCACTAAACAGAAGCAAAAAGTACTAAACAATATACTCAAGAGACTATCTGTAAGGTGCTAACAATAAGAGTTATGGGATGTTGAAAAGGAGAGAGGTTGATGTATTTGCAATATCTGGGAAGTGAGAGAGAGGGCAGAGATCTGCATAAAGCACAAGCTGATATGAGGGTGACACAGCTGCCCACACGGTGACAGGAACTTTTGGTGTTTTCTGTTGCCAGGAGGTAGCATGGGGGTGGAAAGTATAAATAGGTTTTGTGGTAAGGAAGATATTAAATCTATCTGCCTCTTACTGAGCATATACTATTGGGCAAATTAGTTTCTCGGAACCCATTTCCTCTTTTTAAAAAAGTGGGTATAATACTTTTTAATAAGGTGGTTGTTCACATTCAATAAGATAACAAATGAAAATCATCTATTCCACAGCTTTAAGAAAACTTAAGTCCTTTTTGTTCTATTTTTCTTGCTACTGTTTGCATCATAAGGATCCCACATTTCCTGTTCTTCCCTCAGCACAGCTTCCTGGAGGCACACTACATATTTTAGGTATGTACAGGATCCTTGTACATACACTTTATATCCTGTTCAGCCATGGCTATCGGTTCTATTTGGGCGAGGAGGGGCAGTTACTGCCTCCTGCTTTTTATTGGTATGCTCTACTCAACATCATTTATTGAGCACCTACAATGTGCCAGTTACTGTGCTAGGAAGGCCCTGTTGGGGTAAGGGGGATAATGAGTCCGGAAGGTACTTTAAGGTGAAAAACAGTCTCTGGGTAAATAGTTCTTGGAGTTCGGAAGGTGAAGGAAAGTGATGGTGAAGAGCTTGTTGGAGTAAACACTTAGCTGAAGGTGGCATTATTTGCTGAAGAGATGTCATTTGGCTATCTTGAAGATGATAGAACGAACCATGCGGAGACTGGTGAAAGAGGATAGAGATATTAGAAGATAAGGTGATCACAATATCTCTCAAAGCATGGTTGTATTTTTTTTTCATAGTTGTATTAATGCTAACACCTCATGGGGGAAAACTCCTGCTTTAATTGCTGTGGAATCTTAAGCCTGTCAGACAGAATGCATGCTGAACATTGTAATGTAAGCCTCGTGAAAAAATCGGCCACGGTGACAGCAGTGGGTAACTGCAGTAGCCGCAGAGCTGCAGTTACTCGGAAACTGACTAGGGTAAAGATTTATTTGCACGACGATTGGTGAAACATCGTAAAGTCGGGGAAGCTACAATTTCCAGACATCCAGCTCATCCGCGTCAAACCCCCAGCTAGTTTTCTCCGCCAGGGGTGAAATGCGCAGTCAGAAGGCCCAATTAGCGTCAGAGGGACGCGGGTGGGGGGCTGGGGGGTTTCTGCTGCGGATCTGCTTTGGCTCCTCCCGAATCTTAGCAGGCTCAAACTTCGCCACACCAAACATGGCGCTCTTGAGGCGCTTCGTTTTATGTAGCCCACAACTTTCGGCCACACTCAACATGGCATCCTCCGAAGGTTGCATTCCAGTGGCAAGATCTCGGCACAGCTCTCGCGATGTTTGCTTAGGGGCCGACTTGCTCCCGCCCTGCCTCGCGCCGGCGCCGGCGCCGCCACAGCCACTGCCGCTGGCGCCGCTCCTCCTCCGTGTCAGTTGTTGGGCTGTAATGGCGACTGGGCCGCCGCTGCCGAAGTGACTCCCGGGCAGGGGAGCGGGGCCACACCTGCGCCAGAGGGAACTGCAGAGAGCCGCAGCTCCGGCGGCGGCTCGCTGTGGGGGAGGGGAGGCAGCCTCTCCGCCTCTTCTTCCTTCTCTGCAGACCGGCGGGTCCCGGGAGCCGGTGCGGAGCGGGCACCCGGTGCGTCCCCGGAGCGGGGAGGCCAGGCCGGGCAGCCCTGGGGCCGGTCGGGGCGGCGTCACTGCACCCTCCGCCAGGCCCCGCGGGATGCACCGTGGGCGCCGAGGGCGGAGGCGACACTCTCAGGTGAGCCGCGGGAGGACCTGCTTGGGACCGTGGACGTTCGCTGAGCCTTCGCTGCCTCTGTCCGCGGTCCCGGGTCCCCGGTGGCGGCGAGAGAGGCGGGGCGGGGCGCGGGGAGCCCCGACCCTTCCTGCCGCCCCCCGCGGGGACCCTCCCTGGGTCCTGAAGCTTTGCGGGGAGGGCCTCCTGAGACCTGGATTGCGGGTCCCACCGGTGTTTGCAGAAGACGGGATTTCCTTCCTTACCTGGCAGTGCCTCCTCCCCTCTTCCCCGCCCCTCCTCTCCTCTGCAAAAGATGTGAGCTACCTCTGGCCTGTCTGTGGTCTCCGGAGAAGTATCCCTTCTTCATTTGGAGAACTGGCATATTGGGGGGAAATTCCGGAGAACTGCTTCCAGTGGTAAGGATGACTAGTTTCTGTTCCTTGTGGGTAGGTAGAAACATTTCCCAACTATAGGGAAAACTTTGATCTTCTGCTCCCGTCTAGCAGCTGCTGAAGGTAGTCTGCCGATTTATTCACAGATGATTTAGGGGGGAGATTTAAAAAGATTTACGCTTTGAAAGTTGTCAGTATTTCTCCCCGCCCCCTTTTTTAAAAATTGTGGCTCAACGTGCTAAATAGTATTTAGCTAATGTCACAACTGTGGGTTGGGATTTGGCTGGATTTTTGGTTTTCAGATAGGGAGTTGCACCTCAGTGTAGATTTTAATAGTTTGTGATAGGAAATCCTTTATGTCGGCAGAGAAAAAAAAAGGTGGTCAGGAATAGTGATCAGTATCCACGTACGCCACCTGATTGTTTTGTTTTGATGGTGATCCTTGCTTTCAATTTGGGAGAGTCGTTAATGGTTATGTTGCCATGTTAACCGTACTCCCTTCTGCCCTGTATTTTAAAGGCTTTAAAGGAAAGACTGTGTTAGTAACAACCTGAAAAGATTTGTAGAAGCCATGATAAAGTGTTGGAAACTGCTATTCGTTTTTAAAAAGCCTTAATTTAAAATACTGTTTTTAAACATGGCAATGTGATGCCTTGAGATTTTGACTTGGGGATTGGTTGTTAGACCCTGTGGGAGAAGTTGCTGTAAACCCAAGGCTATGTAATAATTAATTTAGTGTGTTAAATTGACGAACTCCATTCCGTGTAATAAAATAAATCTGAACCATTGAACCCTCAGCAGTTGCATACTTTAATCAGAAAATAAACTTCAAGCTAGAATACATTGTATGTGTGAGTAATTACATGTGTATCTCGTCTTTTCATAGGTAGTAACAGGACTTTGTATTTGTGATGTAAACATTTTCATGCACATATGTACGAATTTTCTGATTCTCTTAGGTATATTGGTTTGTAGTGTTATGTAAGAGTTTTAATACTTTAACAACCAACCTTCTGTGGGCAATCAATTTATGAATTAAGCAGTTTTTAATGTTTTCTCATACTTCTGATTGCCAGGCTTGCCCATTTTTATAATATTTATGTATCAAAGACATAAATATTTATGTATCAAAGACAGGTTGTGAACAACCTGACAATCTATTCTACATCAGTGTTAATTAAAACCTCAAAACAGGCCTTGCTTTTCAGAAGGATTTGAAGGCCCTATCTAACCAATTTTGTTGTTTGTTAAGTTGCTGTAAGTTATAGTGGGAAAATAAAAGCTGCTGTCTAAAATAACTTGCAGCATTTTTTGGTGTTCTTCCACATAGCATTATTTTATTTAGTCTTTATATTAATTTTGTGGGATTGGCAAATATCATCCTTATTTTGCAGTTGTGGAAATTGATACACAAAGGAAATTCATTTATTTTTGTGTCTGCTTCTCTTATTTCTGCAGATGATCTAGAATTTATTTTCTTTTTTATTCAGGTAGTATAATTGACACATAACATTTTATTTCATAATAATTCAATATTTGTGTATACTACAAAATGATCACCATTAGTCTAATTAACATCCTAAAATTAATTTTACTTTAAATTCACTATTAGTATAGATCCTTTTGGCATTTGGTATTTTAAATCTAAAAAAACTAATTTTGTTTCTTTTGACATGCCACTCGCTCCTTATACTAATGATTTTTAGTTCTTTAAAAAGTGTTTTCATAGAATTTTGTTAATTGTAAACAAGTTATGAATTATTATAATAGATTGCTTTACTTTTTTACATGCTTTTTGTTTTAACAGTGTTTCAAAGAAATCATAGTTTGTAGTCTCTCATTTTGTTTGAATACTCATAGTTCTGCCATAATTGAGTCTTCAAATCATTTATATTGTGGTTATACAAAACAAAGATGGGCAAGCCATATACTCAGTAGCATAATTAAAAAGTAGTAGCATCTTGGTGATTTTATTATTTATTTACACTTGTTATTGCTATTTTTGCAGTGTGGGTCAAGTTGTGAAATAATTTCCTTTATTGACCTTTTCCCATGTCAACTAATTTCTAGTTACAAGTAGTAAAGAAGAAATAATGAATAGTCAAAAGGTTGCATAATTTTTTTTTCTTCACTTTTTAAAATACTTTAACACAGGTATAACTTACATTGACCGGTAGTTATTTTTGGTTTTTACTTGCCTTTCTCATCTAGTCTATAAGTTCCATGATGGCAGAAATCTTCTAATAATTTTACACCAGTCACTAGTGCATAGTAAAATAGTCAATAAATATTGGTTGAATAAATTGAGTAAAAAATGGTCTTGGCATAATACTTAATAAACAAGACTCTAGTTCATGGTTCCGAGGCACATCTCAGCTCTTAGGAATATACTCCAGAGGTATATGTTCAAGTTTGCTAGGTAGCAAGGGAATGACAACCTGGGAATAAAATGCCACTGAGACTAAGCCACAGGTGGATCCTGAAAATTTTATTGGCTATTTAATGATTTGCCTAGGTGTTCTGGCAATAGCTATTGTGATTTAAAGAATATAGAAGCTTTAAGACCCTGACCTGTTATTCTAGTACTATAATTACAGACTTGTAATAACGTTAAGTCACTTCTTAATTACAGCATCAGGAGTTTTAAATCTTAAAGACCAGTTTGTCCAATTCCCATGTTTTATATACACATAAACAGAATATCATACAGGGAAAATATCTCACGTATAGTTGGTTTCATAACTGAAGAATCCACTATTCAGCTGCCTGGACTACATTTGTTTAATGTATCAGATAATTATCAAATCAGAGGGCAATTGTGAACAACCTGACAATCTATTCTACATCAGTGTTAATTAAAACCTCAAAACAGGCCTTGCTTTTCATGAACCAAGGACATTTGTTAATTTATAAATGAATCTCATCTCTCACTTCTGTCATTGAGACTATAAATTGGTACAACTGGAACAAGTTCTTGAAGGAAATTTGGCATTGCCTGTTAAAATTAAAAGTGCACATATTCTGTGATAGAGTCATTTTTAGGAACTTACCAAATTTTAGCACAAGAGCAAATCTATAAGGAGGATCCTTTTAGCATTATTACAAATACATGTCAATATCATTGACAGATAAAAACTCTTTAATGTCCACTGGTAGGGGTATAGTTTAAATTACAGTGCATTTATGCCATGAGATTTTATGCACTTATATGGGTTGAGAGGTATCTGTTTACTTCATGAGAAGCAGCTGAGCATATCCTTGAGCACAGGAACCATGCAACAACTTTCTGGGTTCAAATCCTATCTGTATCATTTATTAGCTATGACCATGAGTAAGTTACTTTAACTCATCTATAAAGTAGATACATAGTTCTTAACCTTATAGGACTGCTGTTAAAAGAGTGAATATTTAAACACTAAGTAAGTACAGTGAGGACCACATGAGTATTTGCAGTTATTGTATACTGACTTGGAAGAACGTTACTCAGAGCCAAGTTAATGATGTAATATTGTCTAACAAGAATGATAGCGATATTCATGAAAAAAAATGAGTTGTATTAACTCTAGAATAAGATTCAGTTCTGTAAAAACTTAGGTAAAGTAGTTAGATTTTGTTTCCATATAGGAAAGGATCTCTAAGGATTGACATTAAACTATTAACTCTGTTATCTCCAGAGGAATGATTGACTTTCCTTTTTTTTAAAAAAAAAAAAACTTCTGTATTGTCTATTGTAAATCCCACTTTTATAATTTTTGAAGCTTTCTAAAAATTTTTTTTTAAAGATTTATTTATGCATATAAGAGCTGGGGTACAGGCCAGAGGTGTGGGGGGTGAGAGGATTCACAAGAGACTGAGTGGGGAACAGAACAGGCAGACTGACCAAAGTACACTGCTGAGGGAGCAGTGGGCGAGTCAGGAGAGTTCTGCTGCACCATGTGGGTAGCTCCCTGACCAGAGATCAAACTTGTGCTGCAGGGGCTGCGGATACCTTCATAGATTGCGTCTTAACCCTTGTGCCACCAAGGAGGCCCTTCTTTCTAAAAATTTTTAATGAGAAATTTTCATCTAGTGCACAGTCATTTGAATGTATTTTTGAATATAGTTTATCAGACATCTATAGATTTCATCAACGGGGTATCACTTGATTAGATTCTATTTCAGAACATTTGTTGTTAGGTTAAAATTTATGAAAACTCTCAATAAATTATTTTTCTCCTAGCTTTGTGACCTTAAGTCTCAAAGTAAGCACACAAACTTGATCAGTACTGGTTCCGTAAGCTCAGGGTTTCCAAATTGTCCTGAGATGCCTTGGAGCACCATAGTGAACTCACATGGCCACTGTGGGATATTTTTAAATTTTTGAGGGAAACACAGTAATATTTGACATCTGTGAGATATTTGACATTTGTGGGGACACTGCTGAAACTATTAGGTGAAGGTGGTGTGTCTGAGATTGTGTTACATTCTTTTTGGTGATAGTATATCTTCATAAAGCTAGATTTT